CAGGGGGGTGGGGGGAGCGAACTCATTCACAAACAATTCGGGCACAAAGTGTTGGCGAAGACTGTCCTTGTGACCGTCTGGAAAGCGGCCCCGCGCCCGAGGTCCCCAGATGCCCACCTGTCCCTTCCCCTGGGGGTGCAGCCCCTAACCCCAATAGCGCAGGGCTTGGGGAGTAGGAGGTAGGGGTTCATTTGTCACCGGGACACTTCCTGCCTGCAAATCAGCCTTTGTCCCCTGGGGCCAGAGGGTGCGGGGGTGGGGACAGGCCCTGCTTCGGGGAGGGCAGGAAGGCGGAGTCCGGTCCAGCCCGGGGACGGGGCGTTCGGGGCAGGCAGGTGTCCGCAGGGACCCCGAGCATGCAAGGTCGCCAGAGGGGCCTGCCCTGCACGGGTCACTTGTCCGAGCAACCCCCCAAGCCCCTGTCTGCCTTGACCCCTGACCCTGGGTCACAGGGGCACCTCCTCCTCCACTTTCTAGGTCGCCTGGACTGACCTGGCTCCTGCAGGCGGTGACATATACACCCGGGGCGACTTCTGGCACCTGCCCCGCCGCACTCAAGCCCCCTCAGCTGTCCCTCCCGATCCTGTGCCCGGTCGTCGCCATCAGCGTCCCCCCCGCCACTCCCTGCACACACACCCCACGTACCCGTCACCACCACCGCCTTCCTGGGCTGCTCCATGGCGAGATCCGGCTGCGCCGCCGACCCGGCGACCACCGCTGCCGCTGTCTCGGCTCAGATCCCGCGCGGCCACGCCCCGGCCACGCCCCCGGTCACGCCCCTGATCCGACAGGCCACGCCCATCGCCGACCGCGCAGCGTGCGCGCCCCCCGGGTCCGGGACGCAGCGTGCGCGCTCCGTGGCCTCCCGGACTGCAGAGCCTCGGAGCGCGCAGTCTGGCAGCCTGAGCCTCAGTGTGCTTACCTGGAGGATGGGGACAGCTCTCCCGGCGGGTGTCACCGGTTTCAAGCACAGAGCCGGGCGCTGGGGACCAACTGCCGCTTTATTCTGCACGTGTTCATTGAGCGCCTGTTGGAGTCGGGCTGCTGAGAAATACCTTAAAGGGGGGTGCAGCGCCGATCCCAGAGCAAGGCTTGCTTAGACACTCCGTTTTATTTAT